GCATGTACATCTCCTGAGTAGCTGTCCGGCAAGTGTCAGTAGTTCCAATATTTGTCCAGCAAGTGTCAGTAGTCCCAATATCCTTTCACTGGAGACCTGTAGCTTCAGTAGAAGAGATAATGCAAGCCAACAAGCAGCCGTAGTTATAAAGAAGAGCAAAAAGGAATGAAGTTCAAAATAAAAATTGTTATTTTGTGCGGCGAAGAGACTTCCGAAATACATGAAGATCAACTAAATATCATAGAAGGGAGAAGTCGCGATGGCAAAGATTTGTGAACATGTTGGTGTCGAAATCATCGGGGGTGCGTCGCAGGGGTGTGTACCAATGAACGTAGGCGAGGGGGTGGTTGTATTGGCTGAATTCAGCTGGCAACTTGAAGATGACCAACGCGGAGCCCGAGCAATAGAAGGGTCAGTGAGATGAACGAGTGACGTTTCGATGTTTGGAGCTTACAAAAGGACACGATGAACAAGCAAAGCAGGGCTTCTATCAACGCCCCAAGGGCGGTGACATTGTCTCCATGAGACCTCTGACCGAGCCACCTTCCTTCCATTCCCTTGTGTCATGCATGTTGTCCTCGATGTTGTCGTCGGCTGAGGGGTCGCACGAATACGCCACGAGGCCACGTATACAGTTGATATGTGTGCTGGCTCTGGAACCCAGATGGGCGAATGGGGATTGGAAAGCGGGAGAGCTTCGGCTGAGAAGGGAAGAGGTGAAAGATTTGAAAGAGGATGAGCAGGGAGAGCGAGCGGTCACAGTGATTGTGTTGGAGAGTCGGAGGGGTTGTACGTTGGTCGGCCATGAGACGAGCAAGGCGCTGACTGTGTCGCAGGTGGATCTGTCAGCGTGAACAGAGGGTGGCCATGTGACGATTGCCGAGGCAATGCATCTGCTGGTGGGGCTGCTGATGGCGAGGCTCCAGCGATGAGAGGATGCTGAGGTTCCGGTGAGGAAGTGGTGGATGTCAAGTGGATGTGCTCATGTCGAATTGAACAAGTCCGTTGAAACTCCGACACCATGTGACAATGTTGATTTTTGAATTTCCCAACACGGAAATCCATTCTTTCTTCCCCCCCACCACATCGCCAATGCGTAAGTCTTTCCATTCAAGTCCTCTTCATGTTCAGTCAGTGTGTCCCTTCCTTCTTCATCCATGTTCTCCACACTCATGGCCCTCTTCTAGTCTGCACATGCATACATCCTCCTCATCTGTGTTGGCCAAACTCACACTCACCCCCCTTCCTCTCCTTGTTTCCAGTATGTGTGTGTTGCCATCTGTCTCCGTCCCCGTTCACCGTACTCACACCCCATTTGCCTCCTCATCTCCAGGCAGTACTGACCAACCTACCCGCAGCATGTCTGTGCGTACTTTACATAATTCGCCCTCATCTGTGTTCGTCGTATTCACCCCCCTTTCTTTTCTCATCTCCAGGCAGTGCGTACTTTCCTTGTCCCTTATCGGTGTTTGTTGTACTACCGCCCCCCCCTTTCTCGCCTCTGCTCGATATGGTGCGTACTTTCCACGTCTCTTGTCGGTGTTCATCATACTCACCCTACCCTGGCCCCTTAACCCTTTCTCTCCTCATCTCCAGGCAATACTTACTTTCCTGGATTCTTATCGGCATTCATCGTACTCACACCCCCTTGCTCTCCTCGTCTCTACGTAGTACCTTGAATGTATATACCTTGTCTCTCAGTACACAATACCACGATGCTTGCCAATCACTACTGCCACTTTTGGTTCAAAAAAGTGACCAGCTACCCATTGTGTACCATGAACCAGTAGCCTTCGTAGATCAAAAACAATGCAAGCAACATAAAATTAGACTTGACTACAGAGCCCTGGTTCACCTGGTAGCTACAGTAGACGCAGAGCAACGGACACAATCCAGAGCTACCTACCATGTTCAGGGAACTACTGATGCTACTGAGATTAATAGGATGACTACAGGAACTATGCACTAGGGGACTTGTGTACCCAGGTATTCAGGATACTGAGGGTATTTGTAGCTACTGACCCAAGTCAGTGCCTCCTGATGTGGTTCTTGAGTACAAAAATATCCATAGCCGTAAACTCGTTATCTCCGAAGGAGGATACAGTCTTCAAGAACGTATCGATCCCGTCATCGGTGCACAAATGAACAGCATGCAAAAAATGCTCGTCGGTACAGCCAAAGGCGATAAATTTGGGTAGAAAGTGCGACATGGGAGGGATGCATGTCTCCAAAAAGTGTCTCACTGGAGCGGTCGATTCGTCTAAAGGCGGCGTGGCGGCGGCACGGGTTGGGATTGGCAGATAAGAGGGTTTAAACCCCCTTTTCCGCTCTGTAACTGGAGGGGCGTGGACGGACAACTTTGGGTTCACTTGTTTCACTTGTGGTTTCGCGGCAGGCTTCGCCTGCTGGAATTTCGTATCAGTCACCGTCTTTCACTACGGGCACCTTATACTGACTGTAGATGGCCCGCGGGTGTTCCTCGAAACGTCGACGGGGTCTCTCGCCCCACTTTTAATCTTTTTCTGCCTGGCACGCAAGTAACGCCATCTGTTATTCGAGAACAATTTCTGCATATACACCCGAGCCACATTCTTGCGCCGGTTGGTGTCCGCATCTGATGCGAGAAAAAGATTCGGATATAGAGACCAGATCTTCGAATACATAGTTTGAATCACGACGGAAAAAGATTGGACAAAAAATATATACCTCTTGTTCACATTTCGTCACGTTTTCCCGTTGCCCCATGTAAGTCTTCGCATAAACCAGATGTTTTCGAGTCGACGCTCTCAACGCTTCCTGAAGAGGACTTTCGTGTTAAATACTCAAAAAAACGCGAAGTACACTAACTTTCAATCGATTGATGTAATCCTGTGATAAATGTGTACCCATCGTTTTTCGAAAATCAGCCGTCTGTACGCTAATGTCAGAACAAAGCACATGATCGGTAGCCATTAGCCCACCTTGATGGATATTTTGTCTAAAAACGTAAGAACGACGCGTAAGAGTTCAACGATGTCAGTATCAAAGACAAACTTACGAGGCATCGTGCACAACCGAAAGATGGGGAATGGAAGAAAAGCAAGACGCGGCTTTTGAGGCGATATGATATGAACACTGATTGACTTATGTTGTGGAAAAGCTTAATTTCAATAAACAGGGTCACAACAGCGTGTTGCCATCTGTCAGTCACCAAGACAGAAACAGAAACAGTGGCGGACGTGGGGGTGATTACTGCCAGTGGCTACTACCGAATCAATACAAAGTGAGGAAAAGATGACTAGGGCAGACCTGTGGCAGACCTCATTCTGAGCAGCGCGTTCGCGGTCCCAATGAGGAACAACCGGTTTCCGACACACAAGTGTAGCGCCTGAGATGACAAGAGTTGGGGAGTGTTTCGATTGAATGCGTCATACAATACAAATACAACCGATGCGGCCCTTACCGACGAAGTAATAGCGGTGTACAACTTGCAGCCCTGACGGCGTCTATGCTCGTGCCGATCAGCATTAGGTTTCCCTATACATTGTTACGACAACACTGTCTTTTGAAGTGCACCCTTTGAAAGGACGTTAGAACGAAACTGCGTATTGCGTTGGTATTGCGCCATCACTGCACCTTGACTGCACCAAACAAGTGTCAATTTTGAACTGAAAAGTGGACGTCCACTTTTCAGTTCAAAATTTGTGATTGTTTATCTCGCCTCGAACACTCCCTACTTGGTCACTACTGGATATGATCACGGCACGAAGACTTTGTTGACCCACAAGTTGAGGTGCGTAATTGCACAGTTTCCCTATACACTGTTACGACGACACTGTCTTTTGAAGTTCACCCTTTGAAAGGACGTTAGAACGAATCTTCGAATTGCGCCATGCACCTTGACTGCACCAAACAAGTGTCAATTTTAAACTGAAAAGTGGACGTCCACTTTTCAGTTCAAAATTTGTGATTGTTTATCTCGCCTGTGTTTCCCTCGAACACTCCCTGCTCACTACTAGATATAACGGCACGAAGACTTTGTTGACCCACAAGTTGAGGTGCGTAATTGTGACCACATTCGCGTAGCTTCTCAATAATAGTCATTGCAGAATCAGGTTTCCTTCCCCTAGTCGAGAACCAGACGTGTAGTGCAATGGGTTACCGCTTATACATTTATAACGTCTCCGTTGGCTGAAGCGTGCTCTTTGCCAAATGTCAACGAGACTAGACGTTACGGAAATTCGTCGTATGGTGCCCCTTGCCCGTCAATACAAGTTTGACTCACCTCGACAGGGTACATACGCCACGAAGTCATACTTGACCCACAATACGCTGCGTAGTTGTATGAATTTTCACGTAGTTTCTAAAGAATAAACAATGTAGATTCAGATATTCATTCCTTGCTCGAGAGACGCTAAGTGCATTGCGTCACCCTTTTTTCACTGTTATGACGACACACCCTTTATGAAATGACCTCTACAACTCATTCGATGCCACTACCGACCTCATTGCCACTCTTTTCCGCATGGCCGTCACTTGGAGTATCAGAACGTCTTCGTCTTGGTCCTCGAGAACGAGTCATCTGATCAGACAGAGGCACTTTTACGGTATTTCGGTACCTCGCTTTTTGAATACCGCAATCCGGCTATTGAACCCCTGCGTAAGCTGCAGGATTCGGAGGGAGAGTATCTCGATACTATCATATTCGTAAACGATGGCTTTCCCTCCATCAACGACATCCTCAACATCGGCAACGCCGAAAACAGTTGCGCAGCTGATTACATGTACCACGAAGAGCCCACTTCCCCCGTCTCTACGAGAACTGGTCGGGAAGGATATCAACGGTACGGCGCTCGAGAACGCCCCATCCGAAAAGATATTACTTTAAGCATGCTCACGGTTCAGTGCGTCTTCCACAATCAATGAACTTTACTTTTTTTGCTTTAACAGTTATCTAACTCGACCTTCTTATACAGAAAAGGCGGGGTATGGCAGGATTATGATGGTGCCCAGGCTCAAGCATGCTTACGATTCGGTGCGTTACTAACCACGATATCATTTTTGTTTTTTTGCTCAGACACGGAACTAACTCGGCCTTATTCTACAGAAAGTTTTGATATCACCCTTAAAATTCTGCACAAACTCACAAGACAGATCGTGTTTTGGCTCACAAGATGGTCTCCTCCGATTCAAACCCAGTTTTTTGCCCATTTCATTTTTTTTCCCTGCTCTACATTGAATAAGTGTGCTTGATAGTATGGTGTTGGGGTCAAGCCGGTGCTGGAGGACAAGTCGACGACGGTGAGCTCTGTTGTGGGGGATGGCTCTGTTGCAGACTTTACACAAGTCTTTCAGCCATTCCCCATCAATTCGTTGTGCACGATGGCTCGTAAGTTTACATTCAATTCTAACATCGTTAAGTCTTACGCGTCGACCTTACCTTTTTTAGGCAAAAGATCAATCAACCAATCGCGTGCATTGTTCTCACATTAGCGATATCCGAAAAAGCTGAGTCCACAGTTTTCGGAGAATCGAGTATTTAACATGAAAGTTCTTTAAAGCATCGCGAGAATGACAACTCGGAAACACCTGGTTTATGGGAAGACATAAAGTAAAGAAGATGGCGTTCCAGGAAGCATCGCGAGAGTGACAGCTCGGAAACATCTGTCTGGATTACATACATGGCGCAACGGGAAAACCTGTCGAAAAGTGAAAAAAGAGGTAATACATTAGTCGTCCGGATATGACTTTAAATAACGTATTCGTCTGTATACTACTTCAAATAATCTATACCACATAACGACAAAGACATTAGCATTTGCAAAGAGAGAAAAACACTGTAAAGTAGTGGTAAGTTGGCTACAGATGAGTTGACATATGTTTGGTACTGTTTGTCTATAGCTCTCAAAGAATAGTGTGACAAAAAAACGGGTCTGTATAAGAACGATTCCTTACGTAAACTCCAGGACTCGTAACATTTTACTTTTATCACTCATTTCTGAAGCAAGAAAATTATAATTTTATCTAACTGCTCATTTTTTCTGCAAGTGTGGAATAAACGATTTAACATAGTTATCTACTGTTTACCACCTCTTTACCTGGCGACAAAAGCTGTTTGCCCCTTGTGAAAGCGAACACACCTCTGAGTTCTCCGGCTCACAGAAAGCAGCGCTCGCCCTTGGATCGCCAGCCTACAAAACGAAAGAGAGGGCAAACGAGCAACATTTCATCATTGTTCTCCAAATAGAAGGATCCAGCAAGGATGGCTGTCGGTCTTATTACAACGCGAGGTTAACGTCATAGACAAGTTGATCAAATTCAAACAAACATCTCGTGAACGTCTCTTCGCATTTCAACAGTTTTGCTTACTGTACCTACATAACTACCGTCCTATTACCTCCAACTACAACTCCTACTTTTACAGTCCGAGGTATTTGTCTCCCTAGCCAACTTCTACGCCATCGCCGAAACAGTATGGCTTGCAACGGAGAGGGATCTGGGTAGATGACGAGGTTAAGGTGACGTTGAGGCGACGTTAGAGGGAGTTGGGAGTTCCAGTCGGTCGAAGAAGTGACGTGGAGAACACCAAACAGCCTCGGATTTGGAATTTCCGCGCGTCCGCCCATCCGAGGTATAAGGTATAAGAAACTCCGTAAGTTGTTTCAAACCTATCGAAGCGGATCGAAAGCGAGAGGCCCACAACCATGTCAGAGGAAAACCGGTAAATCTTCTCCAATAGTACGAAAGGCGACTTGGTGAGGCTTGCAGGGGAATGCGATGAGTATTCTTCATTCTCGAGAGGTTAGTTCAACAGCCAGCTGTTGGTCGATTCGTTAGCGACACGATCAACATGAGAAAGACGCGTAGATTTACCGGAAATTCCACGGATGCTCAAATGAGGTGATCTCCAGCCACTTTCCCGATGATGCTGCACATTTCGCGTAGAGGAATCTGGGCTCATTGAGCCTTCGCAGACGGTGGAGAACCCAGGGTGATTTCGTGAGACGTATGACTCGAACACAATGCGACGTCTGACAGGACGCCACCCTGTCCGGAGATGTCGGACCCCTGCGCATGCGCACCATGCACAAGAGAATTTGGAAATGGGTTTCGCCGGGACGACATGCATGTTCGACGATATTGAACCGGTCGTTCATCATCCAGCTCCAATCGAATTGATAAGGCTGAGATATAGAGAACAGAACAGATTGGCTGATCTCGTCCTTCAGCAACTCTCAACCCAACTCAAAAGCCAACGAAGGCCCACCGCCAGGACTGAATGTGAAGAGATGGCTCCAGCGTATAGACGGCAATCCCAGTGAGTTATGATGAAGCACGACGATGATTCCACAGCAGAAAAGCAGGTCCCAGTAGCCGTCCCATCCTTCAAAACAGCAATGAATCCAAGTTGAAGGAGGAACGAATCTAAAGGCTGGATCCTCACGCCAGAGAGAGCTCCGAGGGTGAGAAGTCTCTAGATGGCGGTCCTATTGAATTGGGGGTATGTGGGATGCTGCAGGTTTCATCCGAAGTGTGGATGGCAAGATGGAAGATGATGGCGATGGGTTTCTATTGTCGTTGACACTTCTTCATCCGAAAGAATGGAGCAACCTGTACTTTGGGTCCTTGTAGTTGCCGCTTAGACACACGGCAAACAACTGGCAGAACGCGATGTTGGTGAGGAGTGGACGCAGAGGGTTGGGACGTTCCGGGGTGATGAGCGGAGGTTCTGAGGGTGTGTTGATAGTGGGTGGGGTGGAGGATCGCGTATAGGAATGAAGTTTTTGGGAAGCTGTTCGGGATCGACACCCCGAAACGTATGCGCGGAAATGGCAGGAGACGACAACAGCGGAGGAAACCCAGAGGGTACCCCCCAAGAAGCCGACTGGGGCCTGCAGAGAATGCGACAGATGCTCTTCGGACATAATACAAGAGCCAGCTGTCGGTCGATTCATTAACCACCAGACTAACATGAAAAGGAGGTGCATACTCACTGGAACCTCCATGTAATGGGCTGATTTCCAGCCACTCTCCGCAAGCCGTTGACGTTCCGCGTAAAAGGAACTGGGTTCAACGAGCCGAACACCTTCAAAGATCGCGGATGCTTTGGGTTGTTTTCAAGGCAACCTAACGACGATGGAAGGGTGTTCCAAAGGTGACGTTCGCCTGGCCTGGCGAAGATTTTGAAAGCATGATTGAGAGAGAAGAACAGACTGCTGGGAAAAGTGGGTGAGTTGAGCTCGTCGAAGTCAGAAGGAGGGCGCAAAAGAGGGGGGGAAGGGAAGAAGGAAGAGTACAAGTGAATTAAAGAAATGGGAGGGCAAATCCAGGTAAAGGAATCGCAAACGAAAGTGAAAGTGCAGTAGGACGACGGGGTTAGTCGAAGACGAAAGCGTAAGAAACGCGGAGAAGGGACCAAAACTGAGATCGAGGAGGTCGAAAACGAAAAGGACACCCACCTGCGCGAAGTCTGAAAGCGCATAGAGTCGATCTTGAGCTTAAGCATCGGAATCCAAAGTTAGGCCGACTGGATAAGGATGTCGAACAAGCGTGACGCTGGCCATTGTGCATCTTCCGCTTCCGAAATCGAAATCGTTGCAGAAGCCCACTCCCAGTCGGCAATCCACTCGACCCACCAGCACTCCCCTCAACGTTATCCTACTTCCTCAACACCACGAAACAAACAGCAAGAACCCGATGGTAAAGATCGCACGCAAGACGCCTAGCAGAACTTGGGTCCGCTGTTTACTCGCTTTCATTTGAAATTTGAGCAGGGTCGGTTCTTCGGCTGGTGAGTCGCCCAAAGCCTCCTCATCTTCAGGCTCCACCCCCTCCACGCTACTTGCAGCCAACGCAAATGGTTGATCCGCATTCGAGGTATTATTATTCGTCGCACTGAGGGCTTTTGAAGAGTACGCAGTAAGAGACGAGCGCTCTGAAGGGAAGGCGGGTGTAGAGCCTGGAAAGCAATCGGACCGGCGGAAGGGGGTAAGTCGCCTGATCGAGGAACATATGAGTTGTCTGCGGTTCGGTCAACGATGCGCCTTGTGGGAGGTGGTGAAAAGTTGTGATGATTGGCGCTGAAAGAAGGTCGATGAACCCGGGTGGTAGGAGCGCCGGCTGGTCTGGGGCTGATGGGTGGTGTTGGCCTCGCAAGTGGATGGTAGTGATGAGTGTTCGACAGGAGAGTGGTGGGTCCTCTGCTTGCACAACGGGGACGATGTACAAGGATGGTTACGTCGCAAACCTGTGGCATGTCGTCCTCCCGATCGCCAAGGCCTGCCCGAAAACACGGCAGGAATGGCACGGCATCAAATGGCGAACACGAGTTGGGGAGACGTGAGGTAACGTCGAACAATCTGCTTCGGATATGCAGGGCTGGAAGGAATATAAAAGCCCAGGTGTATGGAGCGGGGTATTGTGGGTGAAAGATGGCAGCACTGCTGTGGGGTTTCGTAGCTTTCGGGTGAGGTGATCCTGCACATTGTAATGGCCATACTTGGAGGCCCAACTAACTGCCACGTAGCAGCACGTTGCGGGGCTTCAAAGAACTAACATCAGAAGGCGAAACCAGCAGCAGGGATGGCAAACGTACCTCAGTAATCCAACCCGGCTCCAGCTATCAGATGTCCTCAGGCGAACTCGGAAAGGCGAACGGATCACTAAATCATCATACTGTGAGGTCTTGAGGGGGCGGAGCCAATGAGAGCGATAGCTGGCAGCCCTGTAGTCCGCGCGACGTGTTGAATGTGTTGGTCGAGATGGTGGTCAAGATCAAACCTGGGTCAAATTGTAAACATGACGTCGGATGTTGGTCACGACGAGCACGTCTCTTCTTTGACCTCTGTCGTTCGTTGCGAACAAGGCTCGCTTTGGAATTTGTGCTCATTATGAGCTGCTGCTCTAGGATGTTGGCTTTTCTGGCCTACGCTATCGCCCTTTTGTCTGGTGCTCTAGGTATTCTTGCGAGGGTCAGGAGTCTTTCTATGGCGACTCCGATACCAACATACCATCCAGTAATGTATTTCCGTCCCTCTACCAATTGAACTCTTATCAATCCTCTCGTTAGTCGTCAGATTTCAGCGTAGTCCCTGTGCAATGATGCCCAGAACGCAGGACTTCCTCGCCCCAACGCCATATTCGTAAATGACTTCTACCACCCGTCACGCTGTCTACGCACGACCTTCGAATATATATTCGATAAGGCTTCAATTTCGTTGGGGCTCAGCCGCCCCCTTCTGTTGCACTTCCGTCTCTTGAAAACCCATGGATTCGCATAAGAACGGTAAATTGTTCTTTGCTGTTCGCTATCCGTTCCGCTCACTATTATGACACCCAAAATTAGGGCCTTTGAGGCATCGTAAACCGTGGACTATATTTTTACTCATGATTGACGGGAAGTTTGACGGCGACCAAACGGCGACTCGTCAGCATGCTGGCGGCGATCATTTGATGACATCTACAGATGGTTCCCGATTTTTTGACGGTCTCTCTCTATATAAAATGCAATCTGGATAACCTAGGCATCGAAAGGACGAAGGTGGGCGCTACGGGGGTAACATCCGAGACCTCCAACCACGCCACTGTACTGCCAACTTCAAACCCCACTCAACAAACCCAGGTGCAGCGGATGATCGTGGCTGATCGTTGAATCCCTACTATCAAGTGAGTACTCCGCCTTTTATCATTCCAAGATGTTGTAGACGTATTGCTGAATCGGGCGTCAACGTAAAGATGTCACGGCGCGAGTTTGGTGTTTCTTCATTCAATCCTGAGCTCTCGCTGATGCTCTTTTCGGCCAACTTTGTTTGAGACTGGAACCCGCCTGGCGGCGTGATGTTGCCGACCGATGGCAGGATCACTTCGTCATTCCTTGCCAGAGGTTGATGGCTGAACCGTGAACGAGCCAAACGTCGTCAGAAATTGTTGATGGCTTCCGGCGAATATAGACTTCATGGAGGATCGCCGTGGGGAGGTTGCGGTGTGGCCGGCCTGAGTATGGACTGCGCACGGTGACCCCCATTGCAATTATCAATTCTTTTAAAACTCACATCGTTAATATTACGAGATGCATAGAGCGTGTTGCTCAAATGGAGTTTCGTGCAGCAGAAAGTCGAAGCGGTTGTACTTTGCGTCTCAGTTTCAGTTGTTCCGGTCTCACGACTATCCATCCTGATTGGGAAACGGCGTTGGTCGAGTGTAGAGTGTAGTAAACGGCTCAAACGCCGCAGTGCTCCTGTAGGATTAAGTGATTGTCTAGGTGATGAAGCAAAATGAGCTCTCCGCCCTCCATAAAATACCTTCGTGTATAATGGGTAACAAGTTGAACTTGAGAGAGAAGCGCTTCCGGCGCCTCTCGAGTGGGCTCACATGATGACCTGCCCTCATCATGAGGCGATGCAACCGCAACCGCATCTTGGCGCCTCTCGTCTTTCTCATCAACCACCATCACCATGAACGTGAACATCGCTAGCAGCACCAACAGCACCGACAATATGTTTGGATTGGATCCCGGAGCGGGCGACTTTCTGCGAGATTGCGGCAGAGGTGGTCTTCAGGCGCTCGAGATTGTCGCTATGTCTGAGAATGTTTTCTCGCCGAGTTTGAAGGTGGCTGTCATCGACACCTTGGCCATCATTGATATCACTAAGGTTTGTAGTCCTGCTTCACCTGATCTGCTGCATCTATCTAATGGTTGGAAATAGAAATTTAATACCAATAAGAAAGCCTGGGCTGAGTTTTCAGAGAACCTCATCACACAGGTCGAGGAGATTATTCAGCATACCTGTCATTATGGGAAGGATCACGTTCCGCGTGCTTGGCAATCAAGTCTTGAACATCTTAAAGGGTGCGTGATTTGACAGATCTCTTGCTGATACCATTTGAAACTGGGAAACTCATCAGAGCTTTGAACTTGTTAAAAGAAAGAGTCGCGAATGTTCAACATTGCAGCCAGTCGAGGAGACTTCCCAGTTTTTTGGAGGATATGGCATACATTGAGGAGTTCAAAAGGAAGTTAAATGAAGCCATGGGTGCTTTCAATGTATGTAAATTGTTCCTATCACTTGGTTGACTCACTATTGCCCAAGGTTCAGACATCTCAGATAATTGAAGAAAATTCAAACAAGACTTGTATGTCAAATTATCTACTTTTTTACTCCACCATAATCTTTTTGAAACTTACACAGGGATTTATACCAGCACAGAGACTGAGGCTACAGTAGCCAAACAATCTAGTGAGCTGATTACCCTTCTAATCTTCTTTTTGATTATTCTACATATACCCCTTTCCCAGTGCATCAAGTAAATATTTTGGCAGGAGCACAGGATATTCAAATGGACAATGCTGTAATTATTGCTGCAAATACTGTGAGTGAAGATGTTCATGTGAAGATTCATGCTAATGTGCACATGCAGGTCAACTACAATAATGATGGGGAAATTGCATGCAAAATCAATGAGAGGATGGAAGAATCAAAGGTAAGTTATGTCAACTAATTTCTTCACAACTGATATTGAATGTACTACTAGAAAAATGAATGGTTGAAAGAATTGAAGGCTCCATCACATAAGCAAAGGGAGACATGCATGCCTGGCACTTGTGTAAATGTGCTCAGAGACATTGAGGCATGGCTTCATGATCTTAACATGCCAAATATTCTCTGGCTATCTGGAAGTCCTGGTTCTGGAAAGACAACAATTGCTTCAACTGTTGTTGCTGACTTTGAATCTTTCTCTGGGCAATTCTTCTTTCGCCGTGATCAGGCTGAGTTTTGTGATCCAGATAATCTGTGGAGGCATCTTGCTTTGGATCTTGCACTAGGAAACAATGCTCTAGGGAAATCTATCGCTAAGGCATTAGAGACACAGAAAGCTAACATCAGAGGTCTTGATATTTCTATGCAGTTTGAGCATCTCATTGTTAAACCAGTTCGAGAGGTGTTTCAAGACACTGGAACACCTCTTCTTATTGTTATTGATGCTCTTGATGAATGTGACCAGTATGAGAAGCTTTTACCTTCATTGAAGTCCTGGTCTTGGCTGCTTCCCAAGTGTCTGAAAATTTTCATCACAAGTCGTCGCTATCTTGCTATTCAGGGAACACTGGATTCTGTTAGCCAGCATATTGATCTTCATACTGGGGATCAAGTTTCTGATCAGACCTCTCAAGATCTTGAGCTTTACTTTACTACAAGATTCTCTCACATGACTAGATTGCAAACATCACTGCATTTGGATTGGCCTGGTCCAGATAAAATTTCCTTTCTTGTAAGGAAGGCTGCTGGCCTCTATATCTGGGCTAAATCTGCAATGGACTTTATTTTGCACAGAGGTGGTGACACTGAAGAAAGGTTGAATGTCATTTGCTCTGACTCTGGGGAAGGCATTGATGCTATTGACACCTTGTACCAGCACATTGTTTCTGTTGCTTTCCAAGGGTTAAGAGAAGCAGAGAAAAGTTCTTTATCATCAGTTTTAGGAGCAATTGTTATTGCAAAGAACCCACTTTGTGCAAGTGATCTTGAACAGCTTTTGGGAGTTCAAGGTGTATTGTTGATAGTTAGCCAACTCAGCCCAGTACTGTTAATCAGTGATTCTGGCCATTTGCAGATCTGTCATCAGTCATTTACAGATTTTCTGCTTGACCAAAAGCGCTCTAAGGCTTTTTGGGTAGATGCTCAGAAGCATAGTCTCTGTTTTGCTGGATCTTGCATGAAATATATGAGTGCAAAGCTCAAATTCAACTTTTTTGATCTGAAAACATCACATATTCTAAATAAAGATGTTCCAAACCTGATGGACCATATTAGAAATGTGAAATCTACTGCTCTAGCTCATGCAAGCTACTTCTGGGCACTTTATCTGCAAACATATTCTGATGAGGTATTGCAAGAGGAGATAATAGTTCAGATGGAGGATTTTTTGATGAACCATCTTTTACATTGGCTAGAAATTATGAGCCTGATGGAGGCTGTAAATCATGCCGCTCACTTACTGCTGTTGACTGAAAATTGGTGCAGTGTAAGTGTCTTATGAAAATATACTATTATGATGCTGATATGAACAAATCAAATGTAGGCATTGAAGCCTAGTATGTCAGAGTTTGCAAGTGATGCAAACCAATTTATAATGACATTCTTTGAGCCAATATCTGAATCAGCACCACACATTTACATCTCAGCACTGCCATTTGCACCTCAAAATTCTAAAATATGTCTGCATTTCATGAAATGTTTTGTAAAGACTTTGACAATTGAGAATGGTCAGATGAAGCAGTGGCCACACAGGTGCCTTCTCAGAATAAAGGGTAGTAGTGGTCCACTTGCATATTCACCTGATGGCAGGCACATTGTCTCTGGATCTGATGAAGGAGCTATTCATATCTGGGATGCTTTCACAGGCCATAATGTTATGAAGCTTGAAGGCTATGCTGACCATATTACTTCAATTGTATATTCTCCTGATGGGAAACACATAATCTCAGGATCTTTTGACAAGACAATCAGAGTGTGGAATGCTTTGACAGGCCAGTGTATCATGGGTCCTGTCAAAGGCCATGATGATTGGGTTAGTTCAGTTGCATTTTCTCCAGATGGTGGGCACATTGTCTCTGGATCAGGTGATAAGACAATCAGAGTCTGGAATACTCTGACAGGCCAGTGTGTCATGGATCCTCTAAAAGGCCATGGTGGTGGTGTTAATTCAGTTGCATATTCTCCAAGTGGCTGGCATATTGTTTCAGGGTCCTCTGATCACACAGTCAGAATCTGGAATGCTGGAACAGGTCAGTGTGTGATGCATCCACTCTTTGGTCATGATGATGTGGTCAACTGTGTTGCATATTCTCCTGATGGAATGAATATTGTTTCTGGATCTTATGACAAGACAATCAGAGTCTGGGATGCTTCATCTGGTCAGAGTGTAATGGTTCTTTATAGAGGCTCTGACCCCATCCAAACAATAGCTTTTTCTCCTGATGGCAAGCACATTCTGTGTGGAACTACAAACCACATAATTAGACTGTGGAATGCTCTGACAAGTCACTGCATGTTAAGTCCTCTTGGAGATGATGAGGGCTCAGTTGATTCAGTTGCTTTTTCACCCGATGGCAAGCATATTATTTCTGGATGTGGGGATATGATCAAAGTTTGGGATGCTCTGACAAGTCACACTGAGATAGATCATGTAAGAGGCCATGACAAGGCAATAGGATCAGTTGCATTTTCTCCTAATGGCAAACACATTGTCTCTGGGTCTAATGATGCAACACTCAGAATTTGGGATGCTCTGACAGGTATAAGTGTCATGGGTCCACTTAGAGGTCATGACAGGGAGGTTACATCAGTTGCATTTTCTCCTGATGGCAGATATATTGCCTCTGGATCTCATGATTGCACAGTCAGAGTCTGGGATGCTTCAACAGGTCAGTGTGTCATGGATCCTCTCAAAGGCCATGATCAAGAAGTCATTTCTGTTGCATTTTCTCCTGATGGTAGATACATTGCCTCTGGATCTTTTGATAAGACAGTCAGGGTCTGGAATGCACTGACAGGGCAGAGTGTGTTGGATTTTTTCACAGGCCACAATAATCGGATTTATTCAGTTTCATTTTCTCCAGATGGCAGATTCATCAT